TTATCACAAGATTATCGACGGGGGTCCGCCATCGATCAACGTTATCGTCGGTTAATGGAAATTAATCGGTCGTCGGCGGATCCTTGCCGACCGGAATGGTACCGGCACAACTCGAGCCCGTTGACTTTCGTATAGGAAACCCGTAGACGCGATAAACACCGAGACGGACGGCGGGATTTCTCGTTAACCCAATCGCATCGTATAACGAGTTCTACTCGCGTCAAGTTTTTTCGCTATGTATTGAGCGATCCCATAAATAATGCCGTTTATTGGTATTCCTTTTGTACTAAAAAATTAAGGCAAACAAAACATTGTTTAATCTTATTACAATATATAGATAGTTAATCTATAAATAATGAAGGAGAACGTATTTTAAATTAAAAATGTTGCATTTATCTTAATTCTCTAAGACAAAAGAAACATATAAAACCTGCATTATTCATGGGATGACCCAATAAATCATACTATCGTATATAAGTCATACATAATCAATCATATAATTGTATAAAAACGTTTACAGTTGATCTTATACGATTGTTTAAAAATTTCATGAGGCTGTTAACTACGTTGCCCCACTACTAGGCTATTTAAATCAGATTACACTGACACTTGCGAGGGTATTTAACTCCTTTGTCCCTGAATATGTATTTTTCCCCTAAATCAAAGAAATGAAATTGAAGCTTTTCAGTGAAATAAATAAGATAAGTATTAATCATATTGATAATTGATTTCCTTTATCTTCAAGGCGTTTTCTAGTTTTCCGGTAATTTAAGATGTCCGTGGTACATGTGTGTACCACTCGGGACGAAATGGTTAAACATGATGCGAATGGGTTAACACTAAAACTACCGAGCAGTTAAATTGACTTTATGAAATTTCTCTATAGAAACTCCAAGAGTGCATCTATGGAGACTTCGGTTGATTTACAATTCAGTTTGCGTATCGGCAAATCAATTTCATTGATCATTTCTCAGAGAAACATCTATTATCATCTTAACCCTTAACGGCCGAGAGCTTTTTTTGTAATACTCGCCCATAAGACGTTGTATTACGGTAAATATTTGTTGTCAGTGCCTAATCAATAAACCAATGATGTAATAAGTTGCAATATTTGATAAAGAAAACTATAGCGATGATATATAAATGAAATGAAAACTAAATTCTTTTCGTGTCTCCGTATTTGTGTCTCTCGGTCATTAACGGTTAATAATTGCGGCAAGAAGACATCAGGAATGGGTCGGTTTGACCCGTCTGGTAGCTTTAGTGTTAATAACGTGATCACGGAGGGTCGTCGTGGACGATCGGTGCGCGTCACGGCAAATAAACCGGGCTGGGTCGGCTCGGGACGTCTACTGTTTGCCAGACAGCCGAAACGCGTGCGATTTGCCCGTGTTACATTAAATTGGAAGTCAACGGTCCGGTAAAATCGGCCGATTCGATCAGTCGCGGGGAGTCACGTCCAACGAAAAGAATGAACCCCCGAGTCGATGCGACGCGGAACGCTCTTGAATATTTATCGGTGTCCGTCGCGCGGACGCGTTTTTCATCGGCTGCTCGATAACGGATGTTGGACCGACCTTAGGATATAATTATCATTCTTTCGTTCGTGGTGGAAGCTTAACGTTTCGATGATTTATGAACATTGCGAGTAGACAAATGAGGGAATACGCGAGTCGTAATGTGATGTGATAGTAATTTGATGTATTATATACTAATGACGACGACGACGACGACAACAACAACAACAATAATAATAATAATAATAATAATAACAACGAAAACAATAGCAATAATATTAACAAGAATAACAATGATAACGATGATGTACTAGTATACTAGTAATAATAAAAATAACAGGAACAATATTAACGCGAACGGGAATATTAATAATCAGTAACAATGATAATAATGAGACCTCACGCCATCGATTGTCAGAGTTTCATTTTCTGTTTATCAACGGACCTTTTATGTCCAACAGTTTGTAACATAAAAAGGATATTTGCTCGTCACAAGGATTCACGGTGAGAGGAAGAAAAAAAGTATCAATTAAATTGCCGATAGCAATGCAGCGCGATGCAACGGCCAGAATTTACCTGGTATCCGTGGGCGGCCGGTGCCGGGACATTTTCTTAGTGGTGCGCGCCGGCGGTATCGATTCCGTGTTCACGGCAGATAATGAAACCCTAATTATCGGGAGACAATATGCGCTCGCCGCTTCCTGCTCGGTAACAGCCTTGGATAAATTCGATTTTAATAATTCGATCGCGGTCGCCACCCGGACCGATAGCTTATCCGAATTCAGCGACGCGACGCGACGCTGCCCGATCGTTTCGGTCCTTTTATTTCGTCGGCTCCTCCGTTATTTCTCGAGGAACGGATTTATGGATTTTGTCCGTTTGCGTTTCGCGGATGAAATCGACGACGAACAAGACTCGTTAACTTCCCTTTTTCGCTATTAATCTTTGTTCTCGTTCTAAAATCTCTTTAATTTTGTCGTATTTTTCTGTTATCTTTTAGATTTCACGAAATCAACGACAAACAAGCCTTTGGACAGATATTTAGCTACGTATCTTTTGGAATAGTTCGTCGCAATGTTTTGAATTCAGTTGGAATCAATATTAATGATATAGGAAACGTACGCGGGAAAACGCGTATAAAACTTTGTTGATGCAGTATTCTTAATATTTTCAGTATTGTTGATTTTTGATAACGAAAAAAGGGAGTTTATTGAACACCGATTGTTTAACGAGCTGTATTAATTAATTTGCTTTTGATTCGGAATATATGTAGGTATTGGCACTATTTACATTGTGTTCGAAATATTTTTGGTAGCATTAAGGGTGAAGGAGATGCGTAGGCGTTCAACTTTAAGCGAAACACACGGTATAGTTTGTTCAACTTTTACGACGCTTATCAACTGTGAAAATGGACGCCAGGGGCTGAAGTAAATTCACAACGGTTTGCAGTAAATTAAACGGAGTGCGAGAAATTAGATTCTATCGACGAAATCGAATCAAATTGCGATTGAATTGAATCCCGCAAACAGTGAATTCATGTTTTAATTTTGGAAAAGTCGAGGGAACGAACGTTGAAGAACGAAGATCGAATTTGATTCGCTTCTCTCGTGTATTTTTCACTTTAACGGTACATCAAATATTTAAATGACGCGTGATCGCTGTTGAATTTATTTTTGAATATTCGAATTACACGATTACACGAAAATCAAATTTAGTGCAATCATTCGGATGGAAAGATTGTAATATATTGTTCAAATTTCGAAGAACAATAAGATCGATGAGTCGTGCAATATCCTTGGATCTGCGAAACAATATTTCGATAATAATCATCATCAGCTTTGTCCACGGAAACCCTGTGATCCAGACGCGATAATTTTCCAAATCCATTTACCACTATTCATAATTACGAGCGCGAGGACAGCCATTTATTATGTCGCGCGCAGTGTTAATAGCAAACGCTGTTCGCACTAACGCGGTGAATCGATTCCCGCGTGATCGAACATTCCGACCTCTCCAAATCGTTCGAAAATGTAGTTGTATCCAATCAAAAAAACGAACAAATCCCTTTTCCATGGTTTAAAAAATGTTATTTAATGAAAAACTAACACAGTAACATACCATCTAGTTAATAAAATTCATAGAGAATACATTCGTTCCAAGTTTAACACCCAACTTTTTTATTTTACCACGAAATGTCGTGACGACATGTTTTTAGAAAAAAAGCCATGTCCAAGTAATTCACCAAGTTCAAGATCCAATTATTTTCTACTACCAAGTATCAACAGTAACTGAACCTGACTGAAACTGACTTAAGTCCGCTTGAAAAAGATAGAACATCCATTAAAGAATAAAAGGGTTACGTAAAACTACGTAAGGTTAGTTAAACTGTTGCAACGATTAACGTGATTGTTTTAAAAAATGGACTTAGGCTAGTTTCAAGATAAACAGCTCATTACTCAGAATTATACAAAACGAATGACCATGCAGTGTTCGTTCCAATTTTTCACGCATTTTATCCGTGATAGTCCGCATCTAGATGCGACCTGCATGAAAAATAGAGTCGCGTGACCAAGTAAGTAGACTCGACGAAAGAAATTCGCCATGATTCACGGAGTTATTTAAAATGATAGTCGGTGCATGTTTCCCGCGTATAATGCAGCCGGGACGAGTATTAAATTACAGGTGCGACCGTCGCCGCGCGACACCTTCTATCGATCTTCGTGTCGCGCTCGCATTGCGACCAGATGCACGCGGATCCTTGTTAATTACTAACCGCTGTTTCCGTCCGCTTTAAGTCTGTATCTGATAGACAATGTATCTTGACCTGGAGCAAACCAGATCGGATCTCGAACGAAATATAGTCGTCCGGGACACCGTAACAGTAATTACATCGCATTGTTTCGCATTCTTTCCGTTTCGATCGCATGCGAGCCTGCTCGGGAATGCCTGTTTCCGAGCGGCGTGTTCGTTGCTTTGTTTTCTTCGAGACAACCACCGAGCACTATCGTGTTTAGAGAATTTTGAACGCTCCGGAAATCCGATGAACAGTTCATCGGCCAATTTCCAGCGAAGCATTCTACCATCAAGCTTCGCGTTTCAACGTTGCGAGCTTTCAGACTCCTCTGCGTACGATCTGCTCGGGAAGTTCATTCGCTGCCTGCATTCAACGTTTAACACCGTTTGCCAGCCGCTGACGTGTGTCTGCGTTATAAAGTCCGTAGCTGGTTGCCATTAACAGAACTCCGAATCATTTTCAAATTCCTTTGAAATATTTATTCTTTCGTATTTCGATCCATCTTTTACCATTTTTCCTCTTTCTATTCTTTCGTTCATTAGAACCGATGGAACGATGTTTGTTACTTTCATTATCTTGGCAGAAGATCCGTGCCGCCAGCTAAGGCTTTCGTGACAGATATATCGGCTGACAAAGTGTCGGTTCACTGCTTCGTTACATATTGAATATCATTTACGTGTGATCCGCAGTGCGTAGAACGCTGAAGAACGGCCTCTCGGAAGAGGAAAAGAAGCACATCGCCGCCTACATCAAGGGCTACTGACTGTGATAAAACTCGAAATCTGTAACTCGTCCATGAAGAAGAAATATGGAGAGAGGAAGGGGGAAAAGCAGCACGATCATCGAACCTTTGATCGGACGTCGACGACATGGCCCCAGGATGCAGCGGTCCACGACGAACCCCGAGGAATACACCCAAGGTTACACGTTAAACATACTAATAATTAAATAAATAAATTGCCAAGGACGAGCATCCGAGGCTGTCGATTCTATTTTTCGATTCTGTCGCGCTCTGTCGTTCGTTCTTCCCTCGATGACAATTGAGATCCGAAAGTTATTTAACCTACTAAGACAGAATCTATTAAGATACTACGACTGCCGATCGTATTACGCATAATATTTTCGAATACAGTAGGACCTCGTAGTAAGTAGTAGAAATAATTCAGATTCTTATATTGTACCACGAGATATATGCAATCGAATTTTGCAAGCGTAACTTGAAAGTTTTCTTTCGAAGACTTTATACATGTTAGTCCCCAATTAAATTGGATAATCGAAGTTCCACTGTAACTGACAAACCGAAGGGGCCAATTTTGACCTATCGAAATGTTCGTTTATGCATTTCACGTTTGACTGTAATAGTTTCTGTAATATCAACCCCTTGTCTTGTGATATCGAGTCGAAGGTTTCAAGTTGTATTTTATGAACGTGAATATTATTTGTCCTTTATATTTAACATGAAATACTTATTCCTTGTAGCAAATTATTAAATATGACTTTGATAAGGGTAGTATTCCAACTAGCTGTAAGGCAAGGGGTTCAAGAAAATGTAACAGACTATAATCGCTATTTAATATAACAAACGCGCCAATAAACGATACAATATTTATTCCGGTAACATACTGATACAATTAAATTTCAATATATTTTTCTGACCTCGTGAATCGAGATTGAATTAGTCGGATGTATAATGAATTCATTATTGGTGCATTATATTCTAAACATGAGAATCCTGCCATAAAGAATCTTCCACGAATAACAAAGAAGTTAACTGTATCTTTATCGAAGACGTCAAAAGACACCTTTCCAAATTTTAATTTAATATTATTTTCCAAGTTAACCATTTCCCTTTATTTGACTTTTTTACTGTTCCGATATATAATTAATTTTATAATCGTCATGAGAAAAGTCGAAAAGTCCATTGCGAAGAAATGATTAACCTTGGAAAATAATTTTGAATACACATTTGAAAAGGTGTGTCTTGACACTTTCGGTAAAAATAGTGTAAAGGAACACGTCCCAGCGACTGGAGCGACTTCCGGTGACCGTGATCGAACGCATCGACGAAAAATGGAAAACCAAGCGGATAGAAAGTTTTCAAATGCGTCTTCCGCGGTGACAGTTTTCGCGGGCGAGCTAAGGTCCAGGAGGGGAGGGGGATGATATTTTTCGAGCGTGCCTTGAATCAATTCACCGTTGCATGTTGCATGATATGAAAATGTTATTAAAGTTCGCGAGCCACTCTGTGTCGCGCGGCTTCGTGTCACGGTTCGCGGATACGGGAAATGAAAAGGCGTGAGGGAGGGTTTAAGAATCACGAAGGATTTTATTTCTTAAGGAAGACACATCGCGTTATTTGCGTCGCAATTCAAAATAATATTCATTTATCATTATTTTGAATATAACAACCATTTATTTTCATAATATGATGTTTATAGTCTCGTGAATGATAGCTTCATCTTCATATTTTCTTGTGCAATTATATCGGAACCAAAGCCAAATTATTATAATACGATAATTTGGAGTTACATTCAAATACAATTAAAACTATGATTTTCATGGGATCAATAGATTTCGAATAATTCAAGCAATTTTTTGTTTCAACTTTTCATACCAGTTCCCGAAACAAATCTTTAGAGAGCTTCGCGCTGAAACATTACGACTAATTAGATACGGTTATTTCGTATGATATGCAAGTTGAATCTTAGCGAACGATCGATAAGGCTCGCGCGTTTCACGTGTACCGCGAACTGTATCGGTGGCTCACGTGGCACGGAACGTGTTGAAATCCATGTTACAAGCGCGGACAATGGTGGACGGTTCCAGAATGGACAGCGGTAGCCATTGTGTCGGGCGGCTGCGCCGGTAAGTTCGAACGACAGAGGCGAAGAACAGACAAACGTATCAGCGTGTGCCTCGAACGAGCTTCTAAACTATTCTGATGCGTATTTCGATATCCCGTGGAGTTCGAAGAGAATAAAAGGAAAAGAATGAAACGTCCCGAAGTCGTTGGATAATAATGATGCTACCGGCGACACTCACCTGCGTGATCGTATCTTTCGTACGATATTGAAGAGTAGACGAGCGCTGAATGATGTTAATTCACCGGTTGCGTAGGTAGTGAGTCCTCGATACCTAAACGACAAGAATCTGTAAAACGGTGTGATTCGTTCGACGAGAGGAGCGATCTTAATTAACTTAATCATCACCTTATTATCCGCGCGCGGCGTTGCGCGCGCAATCATTGTAATTTACTGTGGAAATGAATTGAAATAAAATTGCGAGCAGCAACTACGTGTTGTTCTGAGTATTCCCGCGCCCCTGTTCCTCCACCGTTTCCAATGCTCGTTCATTCGTAGGCTGATTTCGTACATCTGAACGTATTGCAAAATACGGAGCAGGTAAGTTCGCGGTGGCTAGCGTTTATTTCCCGCGCAACGGAGTAAAACGGACCGGTCCGCTCTTTATATTTTTTTAATTAACCATTTACATGCCATCCATGCTCCAACGGGTTCGAACTTTTAATTGAAACAGAGGTTAAACGACGTGTTGTTTGTTAATTAATGGTTCCGTTGCGGTTGCAATTAAGTTCGGAAACGTTTACTCAAGAAATGAAGTAACGATTGGCGGTAATGAGCGAAGATTCTTGAATTGACTTCGGAATTTATGTAGATATTATCTCCGGATATGGTTTATTGGAATTTCTTAATGTGAACGCTACGCTGTCGAAAACGGGAGTTAATCATTTTCAGAGGTTCCACACTCTATAATGAAACATGTTTATTTTTCTGATGAAATTATACAACGAACGAAACTAAATGTCAAATAAAGTAACAAATATTGGAACAATTCACTTTATTCACATTATTCCCCAAATATTACGATTTACATAAATATTAAATATTAACTCAGTGAATCTAAGTTAGTAACAAATTAAATAAAAAAATAAGCGAAACGTTTATTTCAGTAATTACTCGAATTAAACCTCAGTTCAATATATTCGGAAAACGTGGTGTTTCTTCGCCATTCTTTCTTGTAATGCTATAAAGATCCAGGATAGGGGAAGGTCTCGGATGGTCCCCGAATCAAACAGAACACCGTGTATAACAAACTGTGCTCGAGACACACGATTTATTATTAACCTTCGTCCAACTTTAACAACATACAATATAATGTAGTAATAAAAACGTATCAGTTAAAAGTGTGTTATAATGATAGCGACGATCGTTGGAAAAAATGATCGCGTCGTATTTTATGCGACCGCCGTTCATCTCCACCACGCGTTTCGCGTCCGATTACGTCCTCCTTGGCTCGCGGCACTCATCCAGTCCTGTAACGCGCCTCTCGCGTGATATTCGTGGCCAAGAACGCCGGTGATGCGAGGAAAATTGGGGATACGGGAGCGTTTCGACGATCGTGGAAAAGGGAATTGCCTGTGTACAATTCGTACTTGACGCTTTGCGTTAACGCAGTTGCAACAGACTTCTCGACGTCAGTAATATACATATGAACAAGTACTTATCCTTCCGTTACCAAGAATATCGTGAAACATCCAAAAAATTCACGCGCAATGCCAAAATTGTTTAAGAAACTGGATGTCAGATACTAAAGTTAATTTACTGAACCCCATAACATTCACAAAGAATCAATAACATAACTAAAGAAAGGATATCCAGAAAAAAGGAAACAAACCATCGAGAGATTGTTTAAGAAATATTCTTTATTAACGAACCATCGAACGATCATCGACAGGCAAAGCGTCAAACAGGAAATGTGTTCAGAGTAAACGGGGGTGGATTAAAAAGCGTTCGAAAGGGGGACAGAACGATTCGCGTGATTCATTAGCACCGTTTACGGCGATGCGGTTTAATTAACGCTATCCTAGTATTAATAATATATATAATATATATATTTATATGTATATTCAATACAATGATGATCCGCGTAGAAGAGCCTCGCTCCGCACCAGGATTTCAATCGCTCGAATCGCAAAGAATCTACCCAACCCCCGTTCGCGGGGGATCATCGCGGCTGTAGGAATGCTCCTCCGGCCGGGAACCCGAGGAACCCGCTTCGAATACACGTCCGATCTCCCCCGTGGCTATGAAAGCTCTTCGTTCAACAGGAGGAATCATCGGCAATCGGAGAACACCAAAAGAAGTCTGTCCTAGCCCCTCCAGCATCGGCCAACACGACTGGTCCAGGAACACCGAAGAACTCTCGGGTTTATCAATTCCCCCTCGCGACCGACCGAGAGACTCGTTCCACGAAAGTTCCTTTCTCGAACTGGCTGGTCTCGATTCGGCGTTGGGATCATTGAGAAAAAATGGGAAAATAAAACCGTCGGCTTCCAAGCGAGGAACGCGTCGGAGGCGCAGTGCACTGCGCGCGTTCGTCGCGTCGTGTCGGTTCGGCGTTGCGAGAGAAAATCCCCGGTCGAAGTAGAGGTCCGCTGTTCCCCGGTCGCTTCTCTTCTCGCGGGTGGGCCCGGGACTCTTTCGGCGAACTGTTTTTCAGTACATCGCGAGGCGGAGTCACGGGGCTCCTCCCGAACCCTGGGGTCCTTGCGGACGAGGAGAGAAACACGGATCGACGTTGGGCACACACACCGGGGCAGGCTTCGCGTTCAACGGTGGTCGCGGACCGGACAGGACGAGCCGGCTGGGTCCGGCGAGGCGGCGAACACGTGGTGGCGCGGCGCACGACGCCGACGATGAGGCCGGCGCGGTGCACGGAGACGCGGCGACGCGGCACGATGACTTCAGAGCTCATCGTGCTTCGGCCCGCTGAACTCGTCGTGCGAGATGAAACCGTTCTTATCCTTGTCCTCGTGCTGGAAGATCTCCTCGACCAGCTTGTCGTGGTCCGCGATCTCGATGCCCTGCTCCGCCTCGATCACCTGCTTCCTCAGGTATTCGCTCATCTGCGCGAGAAATATGGTGTTAGAGGTTGAGTTTTGTTTGGGGCGCAGTGTTGTAAAAATGAGTCTTGACCTTTGAAAGCTTCAGCTACCGGAGCTCAAGCTCGGAGCTGTGGGAGCTGAAGCATTCAACGGTCGGTTGTTTGGGTACAAAGTTTCGAGCGTTGAAGACTTTTAACCACTTGCTCTGTGATTTACCGCTGAGATATAACTGATACGAATATTTCGCGGTTGAATTCATTGGAAAAATATATATTTTAGATGTGTTCTATGTCTATGCTTGCTCTGAAGTAGAATTATTCATAAGGAAAGAATAATATTTCATTTGAATTCGGAAGAATTGAGTAATATTTATCTTTGTTGGATCTTTTAGAAAACAGCATGTAATGTTGAGCTTTGAAAGTTTTGAAGTTTCGAAGGTTAATCTTAAGATTGAGGCTTTGAAATTAGAGTTTCATAGTATTCGAAGTCTTCAAGACTCCGACTTTAAGGTTTGCACCTCCAAGGACTCGAGCTTTTTACAACACTACCGTTTTCGTTGGTTTGTATTAAACCTTTACCGATCGGAAGCTTATTAGTAGGCTTATTCATTAAAACGGTTATTGATCGATGATTTATTAAAATTAGACTGCTTTGAAGTAAAAGAAATTGGAATAATAACGATATACGTGGATTTTTACGAATATTGGTATATACTGACGAATGTAGTTTTTATAATAAGCGATCGGTAAAGTGTTTGCTAAAGGATTAGATATTTACTTATAAATCATGCTTAGTAAACTATCTACTGCCTTTACATTATTCTTAAGTTACTTATGATTTGTCTAGAGTTAAAAATCATTGTTACACTAAATACTCAAGGGATACCTTAATATGATATACATTTTTAGAATTTGATAATTTGCGTGCGCATGCGTGCATGTATTTACAAGATAAGGAACGTTTCTATACTGTAGCTTATTAATGGAACAAATCACGGGGCATTACCTTAATTACGTCAATACATATATATTCATGGAACAATGAAAGTACAATTACGGTAAATTTTTGTTTAATTTTTAGCGGCACACGTTCAGAATTTATTAATCAGTACAATTCGCGACGTATCGCAGCGATTAAAGGAAAGGTATCATCACAGATGAGAATGCTAAAAACATAGAATACGATGGCAATGTTCGGATTACGAAAAAAAGAACGCGTTCAATTTGCGCGCAAAATCTGCAGACGTTAATCCCATTGTACTTGTACGCGTAGATAAACCTGTCGACCCGGGGCGCAGCGATTGGCCTGTCCTTTGATTCGCTCGGCAAAAATATTTTGATACGCCAAACGAAGCCGATAAACCAAACTAAACGTCGGCGAACGAAACTGATACGAACGTGGAAAAATATTAGCCCGCAAAGTTACACTTCCATTTTACTGTGACCGTAATTCACTCAACGTTGAATTTCGAATATCCTTGTTCCCCCCGTAAAGATAAAAGAAAGCATTTCATTAACAAAAAGCATTGGACAAGAACTGTTACCTGCAATTGTCAAAGTCTACATGATATACACGATCTTAACTTTGAAGTTCGACTCCTTTAATTAGAAGCAAAAAATAATGTCGGGCATTGTTAATGGCACCAGACGAAATTTCCTAATTGCGTGCTTTGAGGTCCTCGTAATTAAAAACGGTCGGTCGTTAGCGAAGTTAACGCGCATCTAATTACACGCTCGTGGGTTAGGAAGTTTGAACGTTTATCAAACATTCGGGTCCGAGTGTGGTCACCGTCACCTGAAGCGACCCTCAGAAAAGAAAATCGAAAATGATCTTGCCATTGCTCTCACCTCCTCGCGGGACAATTGGTTGTCGTGGTCGGTGTCGATCTCCTTGAACACGTTGGTGCTTGGCGGCGAGTCGCTGATGTTGATCAGCTCAACATCGAACAACAGCGTCGCGCCTGAAATCAGAAACACGTAATCGTTAAACTCGCAACGGTGTACTAGGCTTCTCTGTACGGTTTCTTTTTTTTTCTCTCTTTTCTCGTATATGACGCTATTTTTTTATTGCCTCATATTTCACCGCGCGTGAAATTACACGTTTCGCACTCAACGTCAATGTAAAAATTATATTCACCGTTTTAACGATCGAACGTCGAGCGCGTCGCGTCGATGAGATTTTGTAATTACCCGTTTCCAGCGGCGCGAGTTTCGAATAATACCGCGAAATGAAACGTTAAATTAAACAATTTATTTCTCGCTAATTACGTCGAGCCCCGGCTACGATCCGCGCTTTTTATTGTAGTTCTCCGAGCGTCGACCGTAAAACGCTGTAATAATCGCACCCCCTACCCTTTCAGGCCGCTAGCCGGCTGGGAATTAATATGACGCGCGAACGCAGCGAATAATCGGTCCCCGTCCAATGTCGTTAACTTTCTTTCCGCTTTCTAGCCGCTGGGAACTTTGAACAATGTGTGCACAAGCTGATGGGAGCATTCGATTTAAACCGGCGCGGTGCGTCTAGGAAGAACCGCTTCCACGGATGGCGTCGAAAGCGGGATGAAAGTCGAGTTTATTAGACCGATTTCCTCGGCGGCGAGTGTCGAATTTCAGTGTGTTAATTTTATATGAAATGTAAATACTGAATGTAACAGAGATAATACAAGTATACGTAAATATAAGTAAGTAAATTAAGTGAATTTTACATTAAATGCAAGTAATGGATGTAATATAATATAAATGTATAGAAAATAAATGAAATGAATTTTCGATCAAACATAAGTAAATGTAAGTGAATTAATTGAATGCGTTTTAAATCAAATATAGTAAATTTACCATCGTTGGAAGTGTAAAAGGAAAATGAAGAGAATAACGTTGCATAAATTAAATGCGTAAGAATCGTAAGAACCGAGAATTCGATTGTTGACTTTGTCTCATGAAGAATATAGGCGATTTGATATAATTCTTTACTTTCTGAATCATTTCGTTACGTAGGTAATAATTATTAATATCATTCTGGCAGAGGAAAGAAAGCAATAGATTAATTCCATATGTAAATACATTCACGGTAAAAGTTTAATATTCATGAGCGCGGAATATTATTTTCCATGGGTCGTTTCGAGTCGTGGAATATCTAATTAAGAATTTTCGCCACATGCATGAACCATCGTTATAAATAAACTGCGAATCTTCCTACAAAATCGACATTTTAAATATACCTATAATTGGAAAACGGAATTACGATAATAAATCAGTTCTCCTAAAAGATGTGAAAAATGTATTTTCCATAATTCGTACATCTTCTCGTGTACATTCTATGTAGTTTTGGATTACCAAATTTCTCACGAACGCCTGAAAACTCGCAGTTTAATTATGAAGCAGGCGGTTGATCACCGGTGGTTACCGATTTACGAACAACGCTGCTAAAACACATCCTGAACTAGGAACCGATGAGAAGAGGGGAGACGGTCTTCTGGAGTTCCTGATTTTCCATTATGTTTCACCGACCCGTGGGGCAGAGGACACGCGACGACCGCATTGATTGCCCGAAACCCAATAAAAATCCAATACGTCTCTGTCAGTGCTGACGAAAGACGATTCCCGCGGCTTTTCTGTTATTTGCCCGTCGACTATCTATGAGTCTACCCCCACCCTGCGCCCGTACACGGACAGGGTGAATAACATGTCCGGCGATTGGACCCTGTATCGATGACGTATGACGGACCCCTTGCCGGTGACATTTACTGCCGATCGTGAGTCATTCCGCCCGAACGAACGACGACGAAGAATATCGACGAAAAATTGATTAACGTCACTCGTTCCCGGCCAGAAGAATGATAACGCAATTAAACAGCGAATCGAATGCATTTTTAACCCGTAGGAATGTGTGCCGTGATATTCCGCTTAGGGCGATGATAGGTTCGATGAAAACGGTTCTATAAAAAATGTTCACATCGCAGCCGGCTTTCTTTGATATATAGTATTTCGTTAGAATGAATATTTCTTGTGCGTGGCATTCGTATAACCGGAAACGTCGAAATAAATTGTAGAAAACTAAGTTTCCACTTGCAGTAACATGAACCTTCCATTCATAATCTAAATTACATTCACTCATAGAAATATTACATAACACTGCGATGCAGAAAATGATAAACGAAATACTTTGAATTTTCGGTATTAACATTTGAAACCCCTATCGAAATAAGTCGCTCAGAAGCCTTGCTCCAGAAACAAAAAATTGAGGAAATTAATGGCATCTGAAATTATTCTACAAACATATTCAGAAGCTTCACAAAAGAAGTGCTTCCTGACCTAGAAAAAAACGAAGAAACGAGTAAATCCGAATAACTAGAAAGGATATCACTTATTCCATTGAAATGTACAAAAATCAGAGAATATAAAAAAATGGATTTAACCGCATTGGCTACCGAGCGACTGAAATGTTATTTCAGTAGCTCACCACGTGTAGTTTCGCCCGTCACGCCGAACGGAATAAAATAAACAATTGGTCGTTGATCGAATCATTCGGCCCGCTAAGGGCGGATCAACGTTACAGCGACCGGCGAATTTTTTCCCGGTTCCGGGCGGCATTGATAGGGGCTCGAAATGGCAAATCGAATCTCCGGCGTACGCGTCCGATTCGCGCGCACACGCGTGTGCTCGATATCAATTATGGAGAGGGTCCCACAGCGATTAAGCCGGCCCTAATGAAATATGCCGGCCAATAATTCACTACTTATACGAGCGCGATTAATGCGGCGGACAACGTTCCCGCGCTCGAGAGCAACGAGCCTCGTTTCCCGTTCGGAAAATCGAATCAGGCAATGGCTGAACGTCGCAGGAAGTTTCTCGCTGTCGTTGCTCGCGACATCGACGTCGAACGGACTCAAAATTCGTTTTTCTTCGCGCGCAATTTCCTCCAACACCGTGCCGCCGCTCGCTGTCGGCCGAGAAACTATGTTTCGTTCTGGGTCCCGACTGGATATGTTTTCCACGCTTCACCCTTACGTTGATTGCACTTCGCCAGAATTGATCAAGGTGTTAGCCGTCAGCCCGTCGTGGTATCAGACCTGTGATAAAAACTTTAACTCTGCGCTCGACGTTTCTTTTGCTATTTGTGGTCTTTATAAATCACTCTTTGTATGAGTGTGAGCAATATCTGGCAGGGTGAAAGCATGAAAGTATAAGAGGATAAGATAGCTTGAAATTAGGATGTGAAAACTGAGTACTGTTTCTAGCCGCGAGGCTGAAAATAAGGAAAGTATATATAACTCACTTTTTGTAACTCGTATGAAAAGCAATTATACATGAATCATATTAGACAAGATTTAATATTGATTATCGGAGCTTGCAATGCTGTTTTATAAAACGAAGGAACGACTATGTTTGACGCACACATGAATAGAAATAGGGATGAGACTGTTTTAGAAAATAGTTAACGATACATCATTTCCTGTGAGTCCAATTAGTAGACAATTATAAGGCAAGCGTTTAGGTACTGGAGCAGGAAGCCAGCGAAATAATGTAGAAATTAATTATTCCGTTGCTGTCCGAGGAACGAAACATCGATAAAGGAACGAGTTCGAATGAAATTGTGTTCAGCCTTCCGGCTGCCCGGTGCAATTGAAAATTATCCGCCGAGAGCACGACTGTGTTTATTCGTTACATCGCTTGTATAATTACTTCGCGTCTCGCGTTGAAAATTGATTAGAAAATCATTGATTCCCTTAACAGTTCGAAGAGTTAGTAAATAATCCCTGATAAGCGAAATTAGATGTTCGATGCTCTTTGCGGATCAACGCGAGGATCCGCATCATTGCGCAATTTCGAAACGCAGAGCCCTGCGGCTCGATCATCGAGCATTGGGAGGCCGACTGGTAACGTAATTCGCGCAAGCACGTCGAATTGGGGCGTATTATCCGATTTGCAATAGGTAATCGGATCAACCGGGCTTAAAAAATTGAATAATGTTCAAGCGAAAAAATTCGTTTCCTCCCTCTAATCCCTTGACTGTATAATTACGCCAGCGGTGAGCGATTTGCAAAGATACGTGGCGAAAACCGATGAAAAACGCTGCCGGCTACGAGTTAACGAACTTCGACAAATATCGCGGCAGATGCGCAAACATTTCTGGATGAATAATTTCTTTTCCGCTCGTCGTTCTCTCCTCTTCCTCTTTTTTCCAAGTAAAGCTACCAGAAAACTCGTCTTGCCTGGTGAAGAAGTTAATTAACCATAAAACGCGTAAACCGCATTTACCTCGGCCCAAGCGGCAAAGCCCTCGAACATTGTAACTTCTCATTAGACGTTCTTCCGCAACAAAGAACCGCAGACACGGCACGCCTCGACCTACAAACACTATGAAAAATTTCTCACCGTGCCTGGAGACTATTGCTGTTTTCGTTATCCTTTTCTGTCGATCCTCAAGTACAAGCTTCGGATATTAAAAACAAGAGATATCCCTTGCCTTTGAAGATGTATTAAGTTCAAAGAACTGCCTCCGAAAAATTGATATTAATTAAATACCAGTAGCACAGTGCTATTAGTAATATCAATTACTATTAATTATTAATTCCAGCAATTGCAATATAGTTAATCTACGAATATTTCAAAGAAATTTCTTCTCTCGAGAACTCAGGAATAGTAGGTCACGATTATTTCGTTCAATAAAATGTTATTAATAATACTATTCATTACTAATTATCAATATCAATAATAGTAACACCAGTACTTAATAAATCCAATAACATTTCACAAAACCTTTCCCCCCGACAACTCGAAAGTAATAGGTACACCACTAATATACTAAGCCGCTCAATGATCGACAGCGTTCAATAAAAAGAGAAATCCCGTTCGCGACAGTTTAATAGAATTCGACGCATCTCTACTTACTCTCTTCAAAACCATCCGCGGGACTCAATGGTTCCCAAAGGGGAAACGAACGAGGCTTGCCGCCGGAATCGATACAAAAGGGATCGT